TCCCCACTCTGAGCGCTTCTCCCAGCTGACAGAAAATGCCTCCAGCTAATATCAAAAAATACAGGACTGGAGGCTGGCGTACAAAGTCAGTCCCCACAGGCCAATGGTGGCCCATAAGCCATGTCTCCCCCTGCCCTCACCTCCACACCTAAGTTAAGAATTGCAGGCCGGGCGCAGTGGCTCTAGCCTGTAATCCCAGCACTTTGGGAGGCCGAGGCGGGCGGATCGCCTGAGGTCAGGAAATTGAGACCAACTTGGCCAGCATGGGGAAACCCCATGTCTATTAAAAATACAAAAAGAAAAAATAGCCGGGCGTAGTGTCGCGCACCTGTAATCCCAATTACTCCGGGAGACTGAGGCAGGAGTATCGCTTGAACCCGGGAAGCAAAGGTTGCAGTGAGGCAAGATCGCACCACTGCACTCCAGACTGGGCGACAGAGTAAGACTTTGTCTCAAAAAAAAAAAAAAAAAAGAAAAAAGGTGCGGGTACCCGTCTCCAGGTACCCCTCTCCAGCTCTCCCCTCGCTACACACCCCTCAAACAGTCCCTCTGTAAATCACCCGTCCTATTCCTTGGTAACCTGAAGCTGCTTATAGAATGTGGAGATGGGGGTAATTGAAAGGTCGGCCCAGGCCACAGAGTCCCTAAGCTCTGCTACGGGCAATCCCAGCTGCACTCTCCACCTTCTGTCACCAGGAGCTGCCGGGCGCCTGGGATATCCTGGCAGCTCTGCTCAAAATGATCCACGACTTCATGAATTTATTTGGCTCCTCCTCGGGGCCAGGAGTGAGTGTCATGGGTAAATAAGGCCGGCCCCGCCTTCAGGAGCGGTCCACTAGGAGATGTGTGCTGTGCAGCCCTCTTGCGAAAGCTCTACCCTGGCGGGACATTCTGGGCACAGCCCAACAGGCAGGGGGAAACGAGAGGTGATCCATACTAAAGGGTCAAAGTCCCAGCACCAGACAGAGGTCCCAAAACACCGCAGCGCACATGTGCTGCAAGGCGAGTATGGGTTGGTAAACAAAACTATATTCAGATGAGCTCGGGCCGGGTGCCTTAGCAGAAGCGGAACTGTCTCGGCGCCATCCGCGGAGGCGCAGCCCAGGGGTCCTCAGCTCTCCGCCTCGCCACCTGGGGACCGCCCACGGCCCGGGACTCGGGCGCCGCCTGCTGTCGCGCCGCGCAGCGATTACGGGAACTTTTCCGCAGCAGACGGGGTCTCCGCAGCCTGCTCCCCCGGGGGCAACTAAGCGACCACAGGGGACCAGTCCCGGGGCTGGATGTGGCCCACGCCCTAAGCGCACGGAGCCGGGCCGGGGTTGCTCAGGGAGGCTGCCCGCCCCTTGGTGCGGACTCTGCGGCTGTGCGCGCCCTCAGGGAACAGCAAGCTCCGAGCCGGTGTCGTCGAGGGGGCGGCGGGACGGAGGGAGGAGCCTGCGGGGTCCGGGTCGAGGGAGGGGGGAGTGGGCGGGGCCGGGGCGGGTCGGTTCCTGAGCTCTCCTTCGCCTGCGGGCCGGCAGTGCTCACCTCTCGTCCAGGGACATGACGGGCACGCCAGGCGCCGCTGCCACCCGGGATGGCGAGGCCCCCGAGCGCTCCCCGCCCTGCAGTCCGAGCTTCGACCTCACGGGCAAGGTGGGTGGGCCTCTTCCGTGAGACCCCCGCCCTCCTCGGCGCTAGCCCCTTCCTAGCTGCGTCTGGGTTGGACTCAGCCCTTTCCCTCAGGCAGCTGGGTCTCCCAGAGGAGGGAGGGAGAGAGGGTCAGGACACAGCCCCTGGGGCCGTCCCAAGCTCCAGGGGTCTCTGCTGGCTCGGTGTGGGCGGGTCGCAGAAGATCGCAAAGACTGAGTCATCCCCCCGCCGGCCCCAACTCAGTTCTCTTCTGCCACACTGTGGCAAATATAAGTCCCCGGGAGCCCATGCTTCTTGGTGAGGGTTAAGCGCGCAACTCTGGGGACTCAGGCTGGGAAGTGCTGGGAGATGGGGACCGCCCGGAGACTCGGAGAGGACGTCCTCTGCTGGCGGAGAAACTGGTGTTAATGCCATTTTCCGAGCTAAGCTCTCAGTTGAGATCTGACATCCCGGTTTAAGGCCTGAGGTCCCCCAGCTGCTCCCCTCCCAGTGGCAGCTGGGAGGCACTGCCTCCCACTTTCCTCCCTGCAGTCGGAAGCCCCTCCTCCCAGAAGGATGTTGCGAACTGGCCTGCAGGCCACCTGGGAATTTTTCGAACCTGAGAAAGATCTCAGTGGTTGGTCTTTCGCATCCCGCACTTGAGAGAAATCCAAGGCTGCTCTCTGGGGCTTGCTCCCTCTACAGGGGGTGTCCTGTATGGAAACAGGTAGAGGCAGCAGTGGACTGGTCTGTCGCCTTCCATCTGTGTGCTTGGAGTGAGCGGGTACCAGAAACCGAAAGAATTGCTGAGGGAGCCTAGAGCTTCCATTCTTCCTCTGCAGGGTTGGGAATGGAATGAGGGCTGTCCTGGATTCCGCTGCATGGCCTTGAAGGAGACCTGCCTCTTTCTGGGCCTCGGTTTCCTCCCCGACACCAGGGCTCACCCATGCTGGGAGCCTCAGCCTCCACCCCCGTGTTTCGGGGGAGCCACCCTGCAAGTCATCCGCCCAGAGCCGTTGAGATAGGCGTCCTGTGTGGGCTTGCGGCAGGAAATGGGCCCCTGCACCCTCGGAGAGGGGGAGCTGCTGTTGGCCAGGCCCCAGGCTGAGGGGGACTGCCTGACCTTGTTGCCCTGCAAACCAGCTGGGTTGTTTGCCTAGGAGGTGGCCAGGCTAGGCAGCTGTTTGTGTTTGGTGGAATCACCGAGCTGGGTGGGTAGCTGGCATCGTTTGCTCAAGGCAGCTGTGATCTGTAAAGTACACAAAGACTGGCCCTGTCTCCCTCCTTCCTACTCTGGGGCTGGGACCCAGGAGCCAGGGAGGAGTGCAGGCTCCAGAGACCTCCTATCCCCCACCCCTTCATGTGTTCCCTGGCCAAGCAACATTGGCAGGAGAGTTGGTCCCCAGCCTCCCCGGGCCTGTCCCAGGGGACTGAGTCCAGGACCCTCTGAGAAAGCCTGGCAGGAACTCCTTGGACCAGACTAGGGGTGACGGGGCCCACAGGCGGACAGTTCCCACCCCTGGGCCACTCTTCCCTGGGTCTTAGGTGATTCACCACGATGATTGGCCCTAGCCATTAACAGACTCTAGAAAGACCTCAAAGAAAGTATCCCTCCTCCTTCTACCCACTATGGAAACCATGCCACAGAAAGGTTAAGGAATCTTCCTAAAGTCACACAGTAGGCCATTGACAAACCAAGACCCATCCTTCATACCCTTCTGCTCAGCCAACCCTGCCTCTCCACCAGAGTTAACCAATCCCAGTACCCCATACCACAGCAGGAATGCCTTTGGGCTCCACTGTCAAGTTCAGAACCTCAAAATAATTAAAACCTAGTCCCCACTCAACCCATTAGGCCATCTAACCAGCAGTTGGGAAAATTCCAGCATTGGGTCTAGACCCCTGTTCTCCAAGACTGGAGAAGACGGGACAAAGCGCTCCTCTCCACCATTCCTGAGTGTCCCTGGGAAAGATGAGCAGAGCAGAGCAGAGCCAGACTGTAAAGGAGAGGGCCACACCCCCTTCATAGGTTCCCTCCTTGGTACTCCTGCTACCCACAGCAACCCCAGGATGCCAATCTGCAGCCACGCCTCCCATGTGGGAGGTTTCTGCTGAAAGAACTTCCGACTACATCTCCCCACTTTAGTATAAATTTCAACCTTCCCTAATTCATGCAACCTTTTTTTTTTTTTTTTTTTTTTGAGACAGAGTCTCGCTCTGTCACCCAGGCTGGAGTGCAGTGACACAATCTCAGCTCCTGGGTTCAAGCTACTCTCCTGTCTCAGCCTCCCGAGTAACTGGGATACAGGTGTGTGCCCCCACTCCCAGCTGGTTTTTTGTATTTTTAGTAGAGATGGGATTTCTCCATGTTGGCCAGGCTGGTCTCAAACTCCTGACCTCAGGTGATCCTCCTACCTTGGGCTCCCGAAGTGCTGGAATTACACACATGAGCCACCACGCCCGGCCTTATGCAACCTTTTAATAAACATAAAATGTCATTAGAAACTTCCGGTTGGGCGGGGTGGCTCATGCCTGTAATCCCAGCACTTTGGGAGGCTGAGGCAGGGGGATCAGCTGAGGTCGGGAGTTCAAGACCAGCCTAACCAACATGGAGAAACCCCGTCTCTACTAAAAATACAAAATTAGCAAGGCGAGTGGCACACACCTCTAATCCCAGCTACTCAGGAGGCTGAGGCAGGAAAATCGTTTGAACCTGGGAGGCAGAGGTTGTGGTGAGCCAAGATCTTGCCATTGCACTCCAGCTTGGGCAACAAGAGCAAAACGAAGGAAGGGAGGAAGGGACGAAGGAAAGAAATTTTGTGATCCCCCCCCCAAAAAAACCCCAAACAGTAGTCATTATAGAGTATGCAAATGACCATGCCCCACCCCCAGTAGATTTTGATAGACTCCTTTGGGTGGGATTCCTTGTCCAAGATATTGACACTTCCCTCTCCTGTCAGTGTAGCCCAGCCTATGCGTGTACTCATGAGTGGACAAGGGATGACACGAGTACACAGAGGGACGGAATCCCTGCATGGTGTGGCTATGAGCAAATGTGGCCAGTGTCTAGATTGTGCAAATGTGATGGTTCTCTGGGGCCACAGAGCACACTTGGGGACCTGTTCATGGTGAGGTCATAATTCGGGCCTCTAGGAACTTGAGTGAGGACAGGAGGGTCTAGAGGGAGAGCCTAGGAGGCTGAGCCAAGGAGCACAGAGAGGAGAGGCAGGGTGAAGGCGCTGGCAGGCTTTCTGGAAGCAGGTGCCCCTTGGTGCGGTCAGCATTCATGCCAGCCCCCTCTTCTTCTCTGATCCTCTCCATGTGTCTCTCCTGAAATGCCAGAAGCTACCCCTGACTCCCCATTAACTGCCTCTGCCCCTACCCCCTAGGTGATGCTTCTGGGAGACTCAGGCGTCGGCAAAACATGTTTCCTGATCCGATTCAAAGACGGGGCCTTCCTGTCCGGAGCCTTCATAGCCACCGTCGGCATAGACTTCAGGGTGAGGTGGTTGCAGGAGCCTGCTTCCAGCAGCGAGCCAGGGCTGTGGCTCAGGCACAGGGCGGTTGTCCCCCCTCCCTTGCTCACCCTGGCTCCCAGGGACTCCCGAGGCTCATGCCTGAAGGGCACACAACTCGCTCCCCCAGGACCACAGAGGTGGCTGGGTCAAAGTAGACTGGGCAAGGTTGGCTCCTTGCCCACCTATAGGATGCAAAAAATTAGACTGAGTCTTCGTTTCCACCTCCATTCCTGGGGAACTTCTCCCAAGCAAGGCAGCCGCAGGCATGGCATAAGCTGAATGTCTTGGCCCACAGAGGCCCTGCTCATTGCCCTCCTACCTGGGCCCCTTTGGCAAGACCTCAAAAGTCAATTAGCCTTTCTGGAGTTCCCGGGAAGCATAGCCCTGCACTGGGTTTAAGAGCTGGGCTTGGGCCGGGTGCGGTGGCTCACGCCTGTAATCCCAGCACTTTGGGAGGCCAAGGCGGGCGGATCACAAGGTCAGGAGTTCAAGACCAGCCTGGCCAACATGGTGAAACCCCATCTCTACTAAAAATACAAAAATTAGCCGGGTGTAGTGGCACGCTTCTGTAGTCCCAGCTACTCGGGAGGCTGAGGCAGGAGAATCATTTGAACCCAGGTGGTGGAGGTTGCAGTGAGCTGAGATCGTGCCACTGCACTCCAGCCTGGGTGACAGAGCGAGACTCCATCTCAAAAATAAAAGAAAAGAAGAAAAAAAAAGCTGGGCTTGATCAGGCACAGTGGCTCACACCTGTAATCCAAACACTTCGGGAGGTCGAAGCAGGAGGATCACCTGAGCTCAGGAGTTCGAGACCAGCCTGGTCAACATGGTGAAACCCTGTCTCTACCAAAAATACAAAAAAATTTGCCAGGCGTGATGGCGCATGCCTGTAATCCCAGCTACTGGGGAGGCTGAGGCAGGAGAATCTCTTGAACCTGGGAGGCAGAGGTTGCAGTGAGTCGAGATCGTGCCACTGCACTCCAGCCTGGGCAACAAGAGCAGAAACTCTGTCTCAAAAAAAAAAAAAAAAAAAAGAGCTGGGCTGGCCATGTGGGGAGACAGCAGCTCACCAGGGACCCTCCCTCTCACCTTGACGGCTCCATCTCACAAATCCGCGTCAGGGATGCTGGGCGCTGCACACCCAAAGTGTTCAACAGAGGAAAGGTCTCACCCTGGCAGGCGGGGCTCTACAGCTCCAAACAGGCAGAAAGCGAATGCTTCCTTCACCAGATAATTAGTGGGCAGCTAAAGAAAAGATGCTGCTGGCAGGGCGCGGTGGCTCAAGCCTGTAATCCCAGCACTTTGGGAGGCCGAGACGGGCGGATCACGAGGTCAGGAGATGGAGACCATCCTGGCTAACACAGTGAAACCCCGTCTCTACTAAAAAAATACAAAAAACTAGCCGGGCGAGGTGGCGGGCGCCTGTAGTCCCAGCTACTCGGGAGGCTGAGGTAGGAGAATGACGTAAACCCGGGAGGCGGAGCTTGCAGTGAGCTGAGATCCGGCCACTGTACTCCAGCCCCGGCGACAGAGTGAGACTCCGTCTCAAAAAAAAAAAAAAAAAAAAGATGCTGCTGCAGATGTAGCCTCAGGTCCCCAGGATGCAGGCAAGCACCCCATCTCCAGGGGCTTGGTCATAATCCCAGGACCAGGCTCCAGGAGATGGAGACTGAAGTGGGGAAAAGGCAGGGCCTCCAGTAGCACCCAGCCCTCCAGCCCTGGGCTGCCTGATCCCTGGAGAGAGCCAGGAAGCTTCTCAGGCTCCTCTTAGCCTGCTGTTGTGAGAAGGGCAGATACAGTCCCCAGAAGAGACGACTCCACAGTGGAGGTGTCTGCAGATGGCATTCCTGCTGCCCTGATGGTATGATGTGGCTGGAGACAGTTCTGGGGCTCGCTGCACCCACTCTAGGCCTGGAGAGGGACGAAGACAGGATGTCTGCAGAGCTGAGGAGCCACGCGACTCCCACCCTCCCATCCTCTGCCTTTTTCTGTTTCAGAACAAGGTGGTGACCGTGGATGGCATGAGAGTGAAGCTGCAGGTGAGACCAGAGGCTGGAGTTGGGGAGGGAGGATGGAGGACCTGCCCTTCCTTCTCACCCTGAACCACAGGAGGCCTGCAGCCCTGCCCTCTGCCTGGGGCAATTTCCTGTGGGGCCCATGAGAGGAAATGGCTTTTGTTTATTTGATGTCTGCAGAAAAAGCAGTTCCCAGGCACCCTCTCATCTGTGAAAGGTAGCTCCAAATGCCTTCAGACAAGCTTAGCCTCCAACCATCTCCTCCCCAGCTGCCTGGGCTTTATCTGCTCTTAGGAGATTGGACATCCCCAACCCCTGGGCTAGGGGAGAGGAGAAGATTCCCTTTTTTTTTTTTTTTTTTTTGAGATGGAGTCTCACTCTGTCGCCCAGGCTGGAGTACAGTGGCGCAATCTTGGCTCACTGCAACCTCTGCCTCCTGGGTTCACGCCGTTCTCCTGCCTCAGCCTCCTGAGTAGCTGGGACTACAGGGAACAGGGGCCCACCACCACGCCTGGCTAATTTTTTGTATTTTTAGTAGAGATGGGTTTTCACCATGTTAGCCAGGATGGTCTCGATCTCCTGATCTCGTGATCCGCCCGCCTCGGCCTCCCACAGTGCTGGGATTACTGGTGTGAGCCGCCACGCTTGGCTGAGGAGATGATTCTGAAGGAGCTTGAGAACTCAGTAACTGCTACTGTCCAGGTCATTATATGCTCAAGAGCTCATGAGAATTTAAAGAAGGAAACAGCCCCACCTTCCCACAGATATCTCATACCACAAAGCAGGCCCTCTCCAACCAGTACATTCCTTGCACCTGCCTCCTTCTGACCATTTCTCCATCCCATCCCCTCCCAGATCTGGGACACCGCTGGGCAGGAACGGTTCCGAAGCGTCACCCATGCTTATTACAGAGACGCCCAGGGTAAGTCCCTCGCACCCTCCAGTCCCTACCCCAGCCCCTTGGTAGCTCCCATGCTGCTGCCTAAGTTCCCTCTGTGATCCTCTCCCCCTCCAGCCTTGCTTCTGCTGTACGACATCACCAGCAAATCTTCTTTTGACAGCATCAGGGTAGGTCCTCCCTTCCCCTGGCCGCTACCCATAAGCAGCCAAGGTAAGGTCTGTGCAGGCTGAGGTTGCTTCCTGTCCTGTGGAAAGGGGGTGGAGCGTGGAATCCTGCTGCCTTCTGAAAAACACCTACTTGTGACTCAGAAGTCATATCTTCTGCCTTGTATTTGGTGGCCACGTGGGCATGAAGGCCAAGCAGACTGTTGTGACCCCGTGCCACCTTCTTAGCTCTCACTGTGATTCATGAGTGTGTTTTGTGACAAAGTGTTCAGAATGGCCCCCACTCCACCCTAGATAATTATCCACAGAGACCAAGGGAAAAACACAACCAGAAAAGTCCACACATACATCCAGGGCAAGTTGCAAGAAAGTGACTCAGTCAGACAGAGTGAGTGGCTGTATCCTCACAACAAAACTATTATGGAGACAAAAATTTGATAAATTCAAGCACCAGTTCTGTGCACGACATTGTATAGGTTTCATGAATTCCCTGACCTCAAGGACAGTTTGCTGACAAGCAAAGTAGGAGAATAAAACATTTATATAGAAAAAATATGGAAAATCCATGGCACTCATACTCCCACCTCCTACCCCATGCTCATGGCAGACATCACTAATCACTCACAGTACTTTTGATCACTGAAACCCTTATGTGGTCTTAGAATCTTCAACAGGGCACTCCAAGAAATCACTGGTGACAACCAACTGATTTGTGAGATAAGGTCTCCATGCATCTGGATCTTCCATAGAACTGATAGTTGAACAGCATAAAATGGGGAGGGTGGGGCCACTGTGGTTCGAGCCACCAAGGAAGGCCACCCAGGCCTGGATTGGCCAGAACAAAGGTACAGATAAGAGAATGCACAGGGCATTGTATTCAAGGCAGTGAGTAGCTGAGGACAGTCAAACCGAGCAGAAGAAGAAAGGGGCAGCGGGAGGAGGAGAATGCCAGTCTCAGCACACCCTTTCCCACAGGCCTGGCTCACTGAGATTCATGAGTATGCCCAGAGGGACGTGGTGATCATGCTGCTAGGCAACAAGGTGAGTGGCTCCGGGGCAGGGTCAGCCCAGCCCTGCACTTCCTCAGCCCTAGCCAGCCCCATAACCACCCAAGAACAGTTATCTAGGCATCCTTCCTGAAAAGGACTCTGCAGGCTCCAGCTCAGGAGTCAGACGTATCTGGAGGCTTCTGCCTATCCCACGTGCCCCTTCCAAGGAAAAATCCAAGCTGTTGCCTGAGAAATCAAGGGCTGCCCAGTGCTCAGCCCCCATTAGAACAGAGTGAACAGGGTCTCAGGTCAGGGGCTAAGACTGCAAAGGGTTAGCCCCAACTGCTGTCCCCTTCCAAGACTGAGTCATCACACCCTTTACCAAAGGTGAGATCCCAGGATTAGGAGCTACACTGGGCAAAAATCCTGGCCCCAGGCCCATCACACCTGCTTGCAGTCCCTTGGGCCACCAGCAGAGGGCAGGCAGTGCCTGCTTCTGGGGCAAAATATGGGTCCGCTGGGGCGGAGGCCTCCTTCCCCAGAGTGACCCTTTTGGGCTTGACAGGCGGATATGAGCAGCGAAAGAGTGATCCGTTCCGAAGACGGAGAGACCCTGGCCAGGGTAAGTGATTTCTGTGGGACAGGGTGAAGGGTGGGGGCAGCCCGAGGCTGGCCCTGAGGACACTCTCTCCCGGGCAGGAGTACGGCGTTCCCTTCCTGGAGACCAGCGCCAAGACAGGCATGAATGTGGAGTTAGCCTTTCTGGCCATCGCCAAGTGAGAGCTGGACAGGGAAGGGAAGTGTGCGGGGCGGGGCGGCACCCTCCAGGAATCCAGTAGGGCCCGGCCCCTGGCCCAGCCCCTGGACACACCTGCATTCTGCAGGCTGAGGTCCATTTGCTCTGGGCCACTGGGAGGTGGGAGGGGACTGCTCAGCTCCTCACCCCAGCCCACCCCAGCCCAGCCCATTGCCTCTTCTTCAAGGGAGCTGAAATACCGGGCCGGGCAGCAGGCGAATGAGCCCAGCTTCCAGATCCGAGACTATGTGGAGTCCCAGAAGAAGCGCTCCAGCTGCTGCTCCTTCATGTGAATCCCAAGGGGCAGAGAGGAGGCTCTGGAGGCCCACGGGATGCAGCCGTTCCCCCCAGGCCTGGCTTATTCCAAGCGGCTGAGCCAATGGGGAGAAAGATGGAGGACCCAGTGCACAGCCTCTTCCTACTAGGGAGCTGTACTCCAGCTCCTACTTGAGTTCCTGCGGTCTCCCCGCATCCACGGGGAGGGTAAAACACTTAGCTTTTATTTGAATAGTACATAATTTAATACCAAAAAAAAAGGCACCTGGATGCCCAAAAAACCGAGGCTGGGCCCTAGTAACCCTTTTGCTTTCTAGGACTTGGGGGGCTGGCCTTCCCTCCTAAGCATAACAAAGGTGGTGTTGCTCCAGCTCAGCCCCAGGGGACACAGATGCACTTTGGGGGTGAGGGCAGGTAATGACTCCATCGCACCCTCAGTTCAGCTGGAGAGAGGCTGAGCTGACCCCAGCCTTCACTGTCTTCTGCTCTCCGGGAGCTTATCTTCACCCCATCCCCCAAATAAGTGGGCCCTTGTGCTGTGAGGGAGACCAAAGCCTCAGGGAAGATAAGAGATAAGGAGATGGGAGGTGGAGGACACAGGGCAGAGAGTAGGGTCGGGCTGTCTACCTCTGGCCTTACTAACACCCCCTTGGAGGCATGCCCCTTTTCTCCAGCACACAAGCACACTGGGGCACCTGGAAATATTGGTTCCCGGCTCCTGTTCTCTGGACCTCAGATCCTGGGGGAGACCCTCCCCATGGAATCCCTGGCTTAGCTACCTTCCTGCCTGTGCACCTAAAAACCTCAGGTCAGAACCAGGAAAATAGTTTTGTTTTTTATTTTTTTGAGATGGAGTCTCGCTCTGTTGCCCAGGCTGGGGTGCAGTGGTGCAATCTCCGCTTACTGCAACCTCCATCCCCTGGGGCTCAAGCGATCCTCCCACCTCAGCCCCCCCAAGTAGCTGGGACTACAGGTGTGCACCACCACACCTGGCTAATTTTTGTATTTTTTGTAGACAGGGTTTCGCCATGTTACCCAGGCTGGTCTTTTTTTTTTTTTTTTTTTTTTTTTTGAGACGGAGTCTCGCTCTGTCGCCCAGGCCGGAGTGCAGTGGCCAGATCTCAGCTCACTGCAAGCTCCGCCTCCCGGGTTCACGCCATTCTCCTGCCTCAGCCTCCCAAGTAGCTGGGACTACAGGCGCCCGCCACCTCGCCCAGCTAGTTTTTTGTACTTTTCAGTAGAGACGGGGTTTCACCGTATTAACCAGGATGGTCTCGATCTCCTGACCTCGTGATTCGCCCGTCTCGGCCTCCCAAAGTGCTGGGATTACAGGCTTGAGCCACCGCACCCGGCCCAGGCTGGTCTTAAACTCCTGAGCTCAAGCGACCTGCCGGCCTCGGCCTCCCAAAGTACTGGGATTACAGGCAGGAGGCACCACGCCCAGCCGAGATGTGTCTTATCCCAATCCTTTGGCAGGCATGCAGCTCCACAGGCAATTTCTTCAAGCAGCTGAAGTGTTTAGCTCTCCCGGGTTAAGAGCCAGATAAGGAGAAATCCCTTTCCTAGGTTTGGAATGTGTTGTGAAAAAGAAATCCCTGGCTCCTGGAGCTGGTGGGAGACAAGATTAAGCAAACCTCCCTCCACGTGTATCCCTTTGACCCCAAGCTCTGCCTCCTCCCTGACCACCCATGCCCTTTCCTTTAACTTCTCAAATAGATACCAGGGCCTAAACTGCTTTACCTCCCCACCTACTCTGTCAGGTTAGGGGGTGGGAGGTCATCCATTTCTGAATTAAACCAATGCAATGTGAGTAAAACAAGGTCATGTGGGTATGTCGGGGGTAGAGAGAGGGGTAGCAAGTTCATGTGGCCTCTTTGGTCACATGTCTCCCAAAGCTCTGACCCCTGCCATTGGAACTGGACAGGATACATGAGGTCATGACCTGCAGGCACCTTTACTGCAGCTCTGCAGGCCTGGGTGGGGATGGGGGGGAGGAAGAAGTATGCACTGCACATTTCTGAGCCTACAGCATTTGCTTTCAAGGCAGAAATCTTGCTCTGAGCAGTCAGCGGCTCCAGTTTGGGCCCGATGAGGAAGCTCTCCATGGCCTCTCCCAGGCAGAGCAGGGAGGAGGCTGACATTGCCAGTCTCTTCTGGGGCCCAAGGCAGGTTGCAGGAGCTCCAATCCCGTAGACAGCTCTGGGCCTCTTGCATTTGAGTTTTTCAGAATTAAACTGCAGTATTTTGGAAAGCACATCCTGTCCACTGTTTGAAGTGAGCGTGGCAGGGGGGTCCTGTTGAAGGAATTGTCATTCACTGCCAAAATCATTCCATCCTCCTTCCTCAGTGTCTGTCCTCAGATGGCCAGCTACCCTCCTAAGAGATTGTCTCCCCGCCTCTGTGACCAGCCTCTCTTTGGCAAGAGTGAGCTAGAAGGCTTTACGGTCCTAATCATTTTTCTCTGTTGAAAAAAAAAAAACCAAGGCCTTTCCCTGTGGAGCGTACCCAGAGGTTGATTACCTGAGTCTGTCCTGCCTCTCCCCACCCCACCTCCCTAGTCAAACGCTGCGCCAAAGCCCACGCCATTGGCCTAGATGGGCTGTCTTCAGTGGGCTGCCCCTCGGGGTCCCAGGCTCTCCTTCGCTGAGCCCTCATCTTCCCAGCAGGGATCAGAACCTGCACTCCTCTATGCAAGTCCTGGGACAGCACAAAGTGGATTAGGGTTAGGGTTCCCACAAACGGAAAAATGTTATTCAAACAACTCTGTAGGTTCCCAGGAGGCCCTCCGTCTTAATTCTCGAGACCGCTAGGCCCTCACTGCCCCGAGCGCGGGAGTGGTTGCCACGGCAACAGCCTCTCCCTCTCAATTGGAGCTGCACCCAGGCTTTGGCTAAAGGCTGTTAAAACGTTGGCCAGGTGCGGTGGCTCACGCCTGTAATCCCAGGGCGGATCATCTGAAGTCAGAAGTTTGAAACCATCCTGGCCAACATGGCGAAATTCCGTCTCTACTAAAAATACAAAAATTAGCCCGGCGTGGTGGTGCGCGCCTGTAATCCCAGCTACTCGGGAGGCTGAGGCAGGAGAATCGCTTGAACCCAGGAGGCGGAGGTTGCAATGATCCGAGATCGCGCCACCGTACTCTAGCCTGGGCGACAGAGCGAGACTCCGTCTCAAAAACAAAAAAAAAGTTAGAGCCCTTTATCCGAGGGCCAGCTCTCCTCACTCCCCGCCACAGGTAGGGGAAACCAGGCCTGAGCCAGCGGGCCCCACCGCCCAGAACCGGGAACTCGGCGGGCCACGCCCCTGCCACCCCAGCGCCGGCCGCTCGGTAACAAACACTTCCACTTCCTGAGCGCACTGTCTTCGCCCGCTGCGGGGCGCAGTGCCGAGCACAGGCCCCGCCCCGCGCGTTCCCATTGGCCGGCGCCGTTCACCCGGACGGAGCGCCCCGGCCCGCAGCCCCCTATTGGCCCGCGGAGGTCCCCACCCTCAGCGCGGCCCCGCCCCCGGGGTAAGGAGCTGGGGCGGGCTCTGGAACGCTCAGACGCCGCGCGGGGCGGGGATTGGTCCGTGCAGTTCTTTCGGCTCCTCGCGGCCCGCGGCGGCCGGCGGTTCCTGGGACACCTGCTCGCTTCGCCCGTCCGGCGGCTCAGGGCTTCCCCGCTGCGCTCCCGGTTTGCCGGACAGGAAGAAGGGCTGGGCCGTCCCGTCCCATCCCCAACGGAACCCCAAGTCGCGCCGCTGACCCGTCGCAGGGCGAGATGAGCGCGGACGCGGCGGCTGGGGCGCCCCTGCCCCGGCTCTGCTGCCTGGAGAAGGGTCCGAACGGCTACGGCTTCCACCTGCACGGGGAGAAGGGCAAGCTGGGCCAGTACATCCGGCTGGTGGAGCCCGGCTCGCCGGCCGAGAAGGCGGGGCTGCTGGCGGGGGACCGGCTGGTGGAGGTGAACGGCGAAAATGTGGAGAAGGAGACCCACCAGCAGGTGGTGAGCCGCATCCGCGCAGCACTCAACGCCGTGCGCCTGCTGGTGGTCGACCCCGAGACGGACGAGCAGCTGCAGAAGCTTGGCGTCCAGGTCCGAGAGGAGCTGCTGCGCGCCCAGGAAACGCCGGGGCAGGCCGAGCCGGCGGCCGCCGCCGAGGCGCAGGGGGCTGGCAATGAAAATGAGCCTCGCGAGGCCGACAAGAGCCACCCGGAGCAGGTAAGCTCGGCCCCGGCCGCGCAGGCTGGAATGGAGTGGGAGGGGGATCTAGAGAGACCCAGGTGCCCCGGCCGTCCAGCCCCGCGCCGGCCGTCGTTTTTCTGAAACTCGAGCTGCGAGGGGGAGACCGCTTCCGCCCGCCTGCCAGGCGCTCTGGCACATCCTAGGCAGGCCTGGGGCTGCGTCCCGCGACCTCCTCTCCTTCCCAGGCTGTGCTGGGAGCCTGAGAGCCTTTGCCGCCTGCACCTCTTGTTCCCTGGCCTTTGGGAGGGCGGCGCAGGGGAACCCAGCCCCCCTTCCCTCGGGTCTGCGGGTGTCTGCTCCCCTTCCTCGGAATCCCCCAATCCTGCCCGTCCCCTGGCGCCCTCTCCTCGTTCACCCCAGTCCGCAGATGGGCCAGGGAGGAAGGGCTCTCCTCCCCAGAGGTGCCAGCTTCCCCCGCCACTCCTACGTGAAAAGCTAGAGAAATAGCATTACTCCTGTGTGGAGCCCCGGCGCAAGGAGGCCCTCCCCGCAGCCCGCCGGTGTGTGTCCTGAACTTCAGTCCTGCAGGACTTCATCCTCCCGGGACTTCTAAGGGAGAGGAAGCCCCACCATCTCAGGGCGGTGTGGGGGTTGCCTGGCGGGGAGGAGGAGCCAAGGCATCTCGGAGTGGTGGTTCTGCCACCTCAGAGGATTTACGATTCTCAGGAATGTGAGGAGTAAGCGCCTAGAGCTGTATCTGGGAGGGGAGGGGGAAGACCTTAGAAGAAGAGAAAGATGGCTAGGGGGAGGGGAGAGAGCTCCTGAGGCTCACGGCCCTGTGTGCGCCAGCGGAGCTCACGGTGAGCCGGTGGTCTTGCCCTGGCCTTGCCACGGTCACTCTGGTGCCCACACAGCCAGCAGGCCGGTTGCTTTTTGCCCATGTTTGGTGTTTGCCCATAGGATCCCAGTTTGGATCAGCTGCAGGAGGGGCAGCTGGCAAAACAGGAGTTGTGCTGAGCCTCCTGTCCCCAGAGAGTGGAGTGGTGTACTGTGTAGGGCAGGGCGTGAGCCTCCCAGGGCCCCTTCAGTTTGCACCAGCTCGCCCTGGTGGCAGTGTCTGATGGGAGTGTCCATGGGGACCAGGAGGATCCTTCTGGACAGAGAAAGGGTACAGTTTGGCATTAAGGGAGAAGGCAAAGCCCTAGAGGATCAACTGGTTTGGTGGAAGTGAGGTCACCAGAAGCCCTGTCCAGCCAGAGGTGGGTGCTGGGAATGCCAGGGCCACCAGGCTCCCACTTCCTGCCCCTGCCAACCTGGCATTGGCAAGGGGAGGGGGAAGGGACCTGAGCACCCGTAGCAAGGGGGTTGACACCAGGGAGTTGGGGCTGATGATCTCCAGTCCCAGGCAGAAATCCAGTGTGAACTTTATGCTGAGTCCATCGATCGATTTGACATTCTTTTTTTTTTTTTTGGACTTTGGAACCCACACAAATACTCACCCACCCCCACCCCCCACAAGTTACAGTCTCATTCAGCTCCTCCCTTTGCCCTTTTGGTTATGCTGCTGGGTGCCAGAGGGCCTGGGAGGCTAATGTGGAGGCCTGGCATAGCACATGTGCCCAAAGGCAGCAGCTTTGAGCTTCCTGGGTAAGCACAGAATCAGATTCCTGCATGTTTTGGAGGGACACCTACATTTGTGTGTACTTTGTTAGGCCAAGAGATGAGAGAAGAGCCACCAGCAAATCCTGGGGACACCATCACCAGCCAAGTTCCAGGACTTCTGAGCTTTGGTTCTCCCATCTGTGAGATGGAGGCATTGGGCGATGTGATGCCTGCCTTCTCTAGAATTGTAGAAATGACATGAAGTACCTGAGCCTCTTATTAAAGTTTTAAATGCCGAACCGCACTCCTTCATGCCCGGCGTTTGAATCCCAGATCCTTAAACTGACTCCTAGTCAACACCATTGAGTCCCTCTAGCAGAAAATCCCCGCAACCCTGTGTGTTGAGCATACAGATGGCCCGTGCGGTTATTGCAAAAAAATGTTAACAGACATTGTAAGAGTTCTTTTTTCTAAAACACACCCCTTTACTACTAAAGCATCAAATGGAGGTTTGCCAGTTCGTTTTAGTCTGAATTTGTGTGCAAAGTGGGGCTGTTTCCTTATCTTCATTAGCCCTCCACTTACTAAGTGAGGATCTCAGTGGAAAAGTGTGGCACAGAGAGTGGTTAACTGGGTGGCCTCTGGCTGGGAAGACCAGCCGTGTCCAGAACCACTCATGGCAGAGGCTGATGGGTGCCTGTAACACTGGCCGTCCCCGCTGGGATGTCTAGGCCTAAGGAGATAGAAGTGGCTCTCCAGCTCTGCCCACCGGCTTTGCTTTGTGGATGGCCTTCCCCTCATCCCCCATGGGGACAGAGGGGCAGCAGCACCCGCCCTGCTGCTCCCCTGCTTAAAACCCTCCTCCCCCGATTCACCACCAGTCACAGGATGAGGCCTAAACCCTTGAGTCTGGGTTCAGAGTGCCGGCTGCGCAGAGCTGAGCCAGCTCAGCTGTACTAGCCAGGCTGTGCGGAGCCAAGTTACTTCACTTCTGTAAGCCTCCATTTCCTCTTGTGTAAGTTGTTGGGGGTGATGGCAGCTACCTCGGAATTGCACGAGGCTGTGTGTAAAGCAGGTAGCTCAGTGCCTGGCACTGAGTCCAGGCTCATCCAGCCTTTGCAGTTGGTATTGGAATGAATACATATTTCACAGTGATCATTGCACATCTATCATGGGGCAGCTAGCACTGGGTCAGCCTCTGCCTAGTTGGGCAAGTGCCACTGTGGCCAAGCCTGGCACCCAGTCAGTGCCCGATCAATGGTCACTGTGGGTTAAGAATGATATGTTGTGGCCAGGTGTGGTGGCTCACACCTGTAATCCCAGCACTTTGGGAGGCCAAAGTGGGAGGATAGGATCGCCTGAGCCCAGGAGTTCGAGACCAGCCTGGGCAACATGACAAGATCCTGTCTCTATTAAATTTTTGTTTCTTTTTTTTTTTAAAGAGTGATATGCTGTTCCATGGCCCTTCTCCATCTGTCATCCTGTTCTCACCACTACCTCCCTATCCCCAAAACCACACCCAGGGTCCGAATTCGTCTCTAGCCTCTGAGCCTTCATACCCTGACCGTTCTGTCCCTTTCCAGGGAGCCTGTCCTTAATCCAGTAGGCAGAGTTAGCATTTCCTTTCCTTCATTTTTTTTTTTTTTGAGACAGATTCCACCCAGGCTGGAGTGGTGTCACAACCTCGCCTCACTGCAGCCTCGACCTCCAGGGCTCAAGCGATCCTCCCACCTCATTCTCCCTAGTAGCTGGGACTACAGGCATGCACCACTACGCCCAGCTAATTTTAAAATTCTTTGTAGAGCTGGGGTTTCGCCATATTGCCCAGGCTGGTCTTGAACTTCTGGGCTCAGGCGATCTGCCCACCTCGGCCTCCACCCCCTCTTTGTCCTCACATCTTTTATCGCTCTGAACACACAATATTTTAATCATCTGTTTGTGACCTTTTTCTCCACTACATGGTAAGCCCAAGGGCATCAACTGTGGCCTATTTGTGTTTCTATCCCCAGCCAGTCCTTGGCACACGGCAGGGAGGCTCTCAAAAACAGTTTTTGAATTAATGAATGAATATATAACAACAGTCAGGGACCTTTGTCCTCATTTAGCTCATCCCTCCCCACCCAGAGATTGGAATTCCAGATAGAACCTACCAACTCCTCTTTCTTGCCTGCTAGCAGCTTCCATTTGAAAACTAGAAAGCCAAAAGTCCAGGCTTTGGGGTCAGCCAGATCAATGTTGAATCCCAGCTCTGCTGTGTGCTGGCTCTGGGATCCTGGGAGTTCATTTTTCCCTGCAACCCTCAGCCTCCACCTCTGTGAAGGGCACTGCCCGCAGGGTTATTGGGAAGATTTGGTGACATGACAGGTGTCATGTAAATGAAAGTGCCCAGCTTGGGGTGTTTCCGGCCAGCCCTGACCCTGATCCCAGAGGCAGAGAGTACAGGCATCCCAGGGAGCAAGATGGGTGGTGGGGCACAGTTAGCTGGAGGACCATCAACCTCTTTGCCAGGGTGGGCAGGCCATTTTACACCAACCAAGTTGGAGCTCTGGTAGGGGCAGAACAGAGTTCGAGCTGCTGGGTGTTTGGATTTCAGATGGACAGGGTATGTGATTGTGTATTTGGATCTTTGCTGGCAAAACAGTGTAGCCCTGGTTCTTACCTTCAGGCTCCTGTTAACTCAGTAATTCTGGAGATGATTCTCTTGGAGATAGAGGGGGGCTTCTTGGCTGGATGCAGTGACTTGTGCCTGTAATCGCAGCACTTTGGGAGGCTGAGGCAGGAGGATTGCTTGAGCCCAGGAGTTTGAGACCAGCCTGGGCAGCACAGTGAGACGTCGTCTCTACCAAAAAAAAAAAGAGGGGCGGGGGTGAATGGGGGCTTCCTTCTCAAGGAACTCCGTATGTCTAGATGAGGTCCTTCTCCCCTTTCCCAGATGTCCCATCTCAGTGGTCCCTGGGAAAGTAGGGTGGGGAATTAAATAAGAAACTCAGGCTGGGCACGGTGGCTCACGCCCGTAATCCCAGCACTTTGGGAGGCTGAGGTGGGCAAATCAGTTGAGGTCAGGAGTTCACGATCAGCCTGACCAACATGGTAAAACCCCATCTCTACTAAAATACAAAAATTAGCCAGGCGTGGTGACAGGCTCCTGCAGTCCCAGCTACTTGGGAGACTGAGGCAGGAGAATGGCTTGAACCTGGAAGGTGGAGGTTGCAGTGAGTTGACATCGCGCCACTGCACTCCACCCTGGGTGACAGAGTGGGACTCGTCTCCAAAAATAAGACGAAATTCAGCCGAGGTCTTGTTGATGCTGCAGCGCTCTTTATAAGGAGAAACCAGAGCTCTAGACTCCAATAACAAGTGTTCCTCTGCTTTCGTTGCTCTAAGATAGAGTGGCCCTACCTGGAAGGAAACTTAGGTTTGTAATGTGCCTTTAG